AATAATGATACTAAAGCAGTGAGAAGAAATAATGCCTCATTGTTATTGACCACTTCCTATATCTTTGTTTTATTCCAGCCACTTTATACACATTATTCAATAATAAATGTGTTCATTTGTCCAATTTTTATTGAGAATTATGTCAGGTACTGTGCTGGGTTCTGAGGTTCCAGAAGTGAACAAGACAAACCTGCCCTGGTGGAGGTTACATTCTAGTAGGAGGAGGTCATGAAACAAATGATTCACATATACCTATGTGATTGCAGTTGTGAAAACTGTCATAGAGGAGACTGTTAGTCGGGAGAACATTCTAGTGGGGTTTCTAACTTAAGTCTACCAGTCAGGATAAGACAGATTATTTTGAAATAACAACCTTGACGTTTCAGTGGCTAAAAACAATGAAAACGTATTTCTTGCTTATGCTACATGTCTGTGAGAAGTTGGCTGAGAGTTCTGTTCTCCATCTGTATTTTTGTCCCCCTTACTCCAGGACACAGCCAGAGCCGCCACTAACAAGCACATGGCCATTTTCAGGACAGGAAAAGAAGTAACACAGTAGCTTCTGCTCATATTTCACTGGCCAAAGTAAGGGTTATGGTCTCTCCTAACTTACAGGGGCTAGGAAAAGTGCAGTCCTATCGTGTGCCTGAAAGAAGAAAACCAGAAATGTTTGAGGAGTGGCACTAAGATCTGCCAGTCTGGTCTTGAGGTCAGGAAGGAGTTCCTTAGGAGGCAATATCTGAGTTGAATTCTGATGCAAAAGGGAAAGGGATTGGGGTGGAGAGTAGATGGAATCACAAAATGTAACTAACGTGCAAGAGTAAACAGAGTAACTCAAGGCCTTGTATGCCAATTTAAGGATCTAGTATTCATCCTAAGAGCTATGAGAAGCCAGTAAGAGATTTTAAGAGGGAATCATGATAAGATTTATATTTTATCTGGGATCCTATGGCTAGTGTGGAGAATAGATGGGGTGGGAATAGGAGTGGGGAATGCATAAGGAAAAGCCAGTGAGGAAGCCATTGTCCTAACGTAGGCTGGAGAAGATGGAGGCTTGATTTAGGCAGCAACAGTTGAGAGAAGTGGGTAGATTGGAGAAACAGGGTTTCGAGATTGGTGGGATAATCCTCCAAGATCCTTTGAGGAATGTATTATTATTATCCCCATTTTCTCAGTGAGGAAAGTAGGGCTTGAAGAAATTATAGAGCTCAGCTATTGAGTGGCAAACCAGTGATTCAAACCTGAGCCTGGTTCTAAAACCTGTGCTCTTAACTACTGTGTCACACTACTTCAGTCAAATGTTTTGAGAAGCATTATTTTATGTCCTATAATGGAGAAAGGAGGCAAAATTTTAGGGCTTCTACTTGGTGCAAATGCATCTTGCAGATAGACCCTTTGATGGCAGACGTCATGACTTACTGTTCTCTGCTCACCTTAGAGCCATACCAGCTACACAATAAATTCCAGTTGAGTTTATATTGGTGAGGTGTTAAAGTCAAAGTTCAAAATTGTATGTAAATGCTTTCATTTAAATTAAAGCATTAATTTATGCATTAAGGCTAGAGTATTTTGTAATATCAGATGTTTAGATTTAGTTAAGGTGTCTTAGTTTATCCTGATTCCTTCCTCAAAAAACTCCACCTTCCATTCTCTTTTCCCTTTGATTTCCTTCAGGCATTCATTTGGTCAAGCTTCATTTGAGTGACATTTATTTCAAGCAATGTAGCAGAGTGATTCAATATGTGGACTACAAAGTCCTGTAAAACTCTCTTCCATTCCATCTATTGACATAAAAATTCCAGGGCTAGCTCTGTATCCACAGGTCCATGAAACTTCTCACCACTTGTCTATCAGTCCTAAATGATCTTCATTTGTTGTTGTTGTTTTAAGCACATTTATCTTTGACTAATTCCTGCTCCTCTTTGCAGTCTGTCCTCCTTGAGGATGAATAACTCATTCTTCATACTTCTTTCACTGTTTCCAAATGCATTTATTTATCATGGTGCCAAGCATGCAGTTACTCCCTAATACACTCACTAATAGAAGAATGAATGATGTTTTATCTTAAGCTTTGTATAGCATTGATATTTCAGCATAAACTATAAATCACAAGTGCTCTTGAGATATAGTTAGTAATAAAATTTTCAGATAATACAATCAGAAACTCAGTATATTCAAATATGAAAAATGTTAAATGGTAAAATTAGCAATGTTGCTGTGGGCTTTGGGAAGAAGAAATGCAAAAATTCAGCTTACACAATTAATTACCCTTTCAGTCCTCAAGTATATGTCCAGAGACTGTCTTAGTTTCCAGGAATATGTGATCCAGAGTAGCTTTCCTAATCAAGTAATATTTAGGCTCTGGTTTATTCTAATTTTTACCAAAGCTTCACAACGTTTTGCTTGAAAGATGACCGACTTGAAGATAAATATAAAGCAGAATAATTCAAAACAAAGTTATGACATTGAAATAAGTGAAATTATATGTACCAGAAAGTTCTATAACAGTATGTCTTATTACTAGCATTTCATTCTAATTCTTCTTTTTTATTATTATTATACTTTAAGTTCTGGGATACATGTGCAGAATGTGCAGGTTTGTTACATAGGTATACATGTGCCATGGTGGTTTGCTGCACCCATCAACCCGTCATCTACATTATGTATTTCTCCTAATGCTATCCCTCCCCTAGTCCCCTACCCCCCAATAGGCCCAAGTGTATGATGTGCCCCTCCCTGTGTCCGTGTGTTCTCATTGTTCAGCTCCCACTTATGAGTGAGAACATGCGGTGTTTTTCTGTTCCTGCGTTAGTTTTCTGAGAATGATGGTTTCCAGCTTCATCCATGACCCTGCAAAAGACATGAACTCATCCTTTTTTATGGCTGCATAGTATTCCATGGTGTATATGTGCCACATTTTCTTTATCCAGTCTAT